GTGAGCTAACCGGCCATCCCTATGTGGGATCCGAACCCTTTGCCTTGGTGTTATCAGCACCACACTCTCCCAAGTAAGCCATGGGCCGGCCCAAATTACTCCCACTTCTTGACAGCACATAATCCACAGCAAACCCCCACCACTGAATCTTCCCCAAAATTACCCAGCAAAAGCCCAAATTCTCTAAGTCTGCCCAGCACCATCTTACTGAGACACTCCATGGTTCCCCATGGCTTCCGTTGCAGAAAGCATCAATAAACCTAATTTGGTTTACTACAGGCATGTACCTGATGGTCTTTGACTAAAGGACATCAAAATAAAGTTTCTAGCTTAACCAACTGGACAAGGATACCATTTACCAAAATGAAGAGAGGAAGAACAAGTTCTTTTTTCTTTGTAGGTAAAAGATATCAAGTTGCTTTAGATATCTGAATCTATGTTATCCATTGGCCATCAAAATGAAACCAACTTATTATAGCTGCTTAGAGCTCAAGAGAGAGGTTTAGACTAGAAATTTAGATCAGAGAATCAACAACATATAGGTAGTAACTGAAGCCATAAAGTAGATCAGAGTACACAAAGAGATTAAGGAGAGAAGTCAAGGTATAAACCTAATGAAAGAGAAATCCTTGAGAAACAGAAATGGAACAACCTGAGGAATAGGATGGTATTTCAAAGAAATGGTATGGTGCCAATTTTTCAAGGTCAAAAATAATTAAAAACTAGCTTCCATATTTGGTAACAAAGGCCTTAAGTGGTGTCCTTGGCTAGAAAGGTTTTAGATGGTGTGCTATCTTAGATTACTCTCTAACTGTTCCAAACTGTCTCAGCCACTTCTCTTCAACAGGAACATAAAGAATATAATCCATGGGGGAGTTAATAAAATTAGCCATATAAAATAAAATCAAATAAAGCCCTTATGTACCTGCTGAATTAAAGAAACATACTGATGTAGGACTTGATTGTTAAAAGATGCGCTCTTACAGAGACTGTCAGTGATAACTAAAAACACATTAGAAGACAAGTTATCTAGTTCAGTAGTTATTAAATTTGTTTTTAAAGGAAGAAATCCCATACCTTGGGTGAAAAAGTACCTCATATGTAATTACAAAAGCAAATGATCTGGTAAAAGCACAGAAAGACAGCTAAGACAAAGGATAACACTAACCCTCTCATGACATGTCTTCAAAGTATTACAAACCAGTCTCCTCAATGTCTCCCACTAGGCACACACTGTGCTGCAGAGCCTTTGCACTGCTGTTCCCTTTTCCCAGAATACTTTCCCTGCAGATGGTCAAATGGCTAATCTCCTAATCTACTTCAGTTTTTTACTCACAAGTAACCTCAGTAAGGCCTTCCCTAGCCAATGATATCTAAAATTTCAACACTGTCCTGTCCACTCCAACAATCATATCTTCTTTTCCTTTCTTTTTCCTTAACATTGTCACTATCCAAAATATTATATTTTATTATTTATCTAGCTTATTAGTTTATTTATCATTAAAAATTCATGTTATGCCCAAATTTTTAAAAAGTCCTCTCAAATACCCCATTGCTTGTTTGAAGACAATATATATTCCAAACTTCAGCTTTAAGTAAACATATCAACATGCTTGTCAGTATAGCTTGTCCTCATAAAACAGCAATGAGAGAGAATATTGTTAACACATCATTTCATAGTAGGACAATCTCAGAATAATGGTCCTTTAACTTGAATGAATTTATTTCCATAAATAAAAATAGGAGGGAAAAAAACATAGTATATAGTCATAAGGAACCTGAATTCTAGCCTCATCCAGACTTAACAATAGTTACTTATAGAAGGACCCATTTTGCAGTTATGAAAATAATGGCTTTTCTATTACTGCCAAGAACTGTGAATGGTCTGAGATTTTACCCTACTTGCAAGCTAGCAAGTTATTCTGCCCCAATTTCATGGATGTTAGCAGAAAACACAAGATTCTTAGGTCAGAGACAAAAAACTTTATTACTCATAGCAATAGCAGTAGCCAGTGTCAGTATTTGAGCTAATTCCCCAAGCCCCAATTCCCATAGGGTGACACAAGAGGGCTAGGTGACAACTGCACATGCAATAGGTGTGTTACAGGAATGAAACTTGAGCTTAAAAGGAACCCAAATCTTTTATAATGGACATAAGCATGCCTATCCTTTGTTCTGGAGGGAGACACTACTTTTAATATACTAGACAGAAGCAAATCTGCTCTTTCTCTGGAAACAGTATCTCTATCTTACAATGCTGCTCACTATATAAATGTCCTTTAAAAAGTCCAGAAAAAAAGGCAGTCAGTACCTCTGCTTGCTTGTAAGACATATATAACATGAGAGACCCATGGACAATTGTCTCTCAATAATCACCATGTCTGGCAAACATTAAAAAAGGAAAAATTAGCCTGATGTCTCTGTGTCCTATGTTTATCACAAAATCACAAGTTGTAAATGAGAAGCAGCCTGTCAAAAGCCAAATGTAGAATTTCTTATTTTTCTTCTTGGATTCTTTAGAGTCCAACATTTTATAGAAAATAACAAGACCAGTTTAACAAACTAACAGCTTTTTTATGTATTGAATTTCACTAAGAATTATAAAAATGCAAATCAGCTTTCCCCAAATTATAAGGGGTGGTGGGCAAGGGGTGCCCATGGAAACTGAGCACATATGAACTAAGCACCATGCTGCTGAAAGAGTGGTAGTGGAATACACACAGACACAGAACCCATCATCAAGAAGCTTAAAGTTTAGTAGAGAAGAAAGGTATCTGGAGATAAACATAACCAGGGACCAGTGCAAAAAAATAAAGTACACGTTTTGGAGTTCAAAGAATGTGACTTCTAACTGAGGGCATTTGGGAAGGCTTAGGGAGAAGGTATACTTCTAATAGAATTTGAGGTAGAATTTAGAAGATAAAAAGTTGTTACAGAGAGCAAGGGAAAAGGGAAGGGAACAGGACACTCTAGATCATCATAAGACAAGCAGGTGGCTGAAAAACAATGCTAAACTGCAGTTTCAGTCTGGTAGAACTATAGTTATCAAAAAGAATGGTAAAAAAACAGAACTAAAGAGATAAACTGGCGTGACCATAACTGGATCTTGCATGCTAAGCTTCATTTTTACTTTATTCTTTAGTAATAGGAAAGGCATTGAAGGGTTTTGGGAAAGAACATGAGTCATCAACACTAATATTTACAAATCACTGATCTGCCTTATGGCTTGAGATGGCCTTCCAATAAGATAGTCTTAACTGAGTTTTTGCATAAAAATCACTGGAAGAATTAATACCTAGGCCCCACCCCAGAGATGCTGATTCAGTAGGTCTGGAGTGGGGCCCAGGAATGTGAATTTTAAAAGTTCCAAAGGAATTACAATGCATGCCCTGGTGGAGAGCTGCTTAAATTAAGCAATATGATAAATACACCAACTCTTGCTGTGACGGGACCACTCTACATTAAGTAGTATGCACAGAATACACTACTCAAGAATGAGAGAATAAATTGAAATTAAAACTCAGGGCTCTGCACCATCTTTCCCTTCCTAAATGTAAGAACCAAGAAGGCAAAAACCAGAAACAGTAAATCCAAGCCACATAAGGGAGAGCCTAGAAGCTATATCCAAGAATGTGGCAGCAGAGAGAAAATGAAGGCTACACAGATTCTTCAGGCAAAGCTTAAGAAGTGATGGGATTAGAAAGAAAAACATTTGTTTGATCTACCATAGCCACATACCACAAAAGAACTAAGAAAGCTACTTTACAAATAGTCCCATGTATTCTTCAGAGGCAAGTCTGTGAAACGGCATGAGGG